AAACAAACCCATCAACAGCTGCGTCCACGTTGAAGCCGCCGCAGAAGAGTGTCGGACCGTCCGTGCCGCTGAAGAGAGTGCGGTCTAGCTCCCCGGTTAATCTGGCCAGACAGAAGAGTTTCCGGAAGGAACCAGAGAGGCCTAATTCTCCGTGCAATGTACCCAACAGAACGCTGAGGTCACCCTCGCCGAGCCGTAGATTTGACGGAGGTAGCAATAATCTCTCGAAGCGAACGATGGGTCCAAAGGCTAATGGCGAAGCCCATTCTCAGTCAGTTACGTCGTTGATGCGGAGGGAGAATAGGCGAGCGGCGAGTCCAAACCAGAGTTTGCAGGGTTTGAGGCGGAGAGAGAATTGCGATTTCAAAATAGAGGAAAGAGTGGTGAAAGAGGTGGTGGAATCTAAGCATGAGATAGAGTCGGGGGCGGCCATGATGGAGGACATTCACAATCCTCTCATATCCTTGGACTGTTTCATCTTCTTGTAGATAACTCTGAGCATGTCGTGCCCCGCTGCTGCATATTTCATATATTCTTTTGATGTTCATACTTGAAATCTGAAAGCAACAATTTTTGGTTTTAGGGCTTGCTATTTTTCTTTTTAAAGCAGCAATTATTGGTTTTATGGATTAAATCGTGGAAGTTTGGAAGGTCGATGGAGTGTGGTCTTTGCAGCTATTATTATTACGATTGGATGCGTGCTTGTAGTGATGGTATACAGGGGATGTTTGTGGGGAAGAAAATAATATCAAGTGAAAGATATTTTTTAAAAGTGCTTTATAATATGATGACCGAAGCGCCTTTTTTTTTTGGGGCCTGAAGGGCCCAATTGAGGTTAGCTGTGGTTTGGGCCTGGCCGTGGAATGCTAATCCATTGGAGCACCAGTGAGTTTGATTCGTGAGGCCCAACATAGTTAGACAATAAGTTGCGTACAACTAGAATATTGGGCCTTCTGTAACAAAAAACGAAGGCCTTCAAGCCCATGGGGTTCCATTAAACCATTAATGTCCAACAACCAAAGCCCCAGCTGGAGATGCTTCTCGTTTCCATAGGATTTCCATCATATCAGAAACAGCAGTACAAACTAACGGGGGTTGAATCTGATTAAAATAATAATAAAAATAAATTCTTAAAACACGATGAATTAAGATTTAAATTTCTGTTAGGATACATGTAATACTTAGCAGTACTTCCAATATGCACCATGTGTTTGAGCTGGAGTTGATATGAACGAGAGATTATTGGAAGAGTTATTTTCTATCGGGCTTACAGTACCTCCGTATAAAACATTATATAAAAACTTCAGTTATATCACCGCACAGGGTATCAAGTAATATTAGTCTCGTTTCCATCTCTATTGGCATTCTGATTCATGTTTTTACACCTTCGATATCCATTTCATCGTAAACCTCTTAATTAGATTGATTACCCGTAAAGCCGGCGTTGATACTGATTCAAATTAATCAGTTGAGGTTTGCTTCCATAAATCTATCGCCCAAACCTTTATGAATCTTTCTTCATATGCGCGGTATTAGTGTCGGGGTCATTCCAACGGGAATCAAACAAGAAGGAGAGATCGATTCGACCCATAATGTCATACTCCGTACGCACGTTTCAACCTTTGATTTACTCACAGCATACAAAGCAACAGCTGAAATGAACCTGTATGGCTTTGATTGTTCAATTGATTGTTAGTCCCGTACTGATTTCTTTCGATTAATTCTTCCAGTATACAGTGTAATTCAATGAATGGAATAGAATAGAAGGGCTAATGTAATGGAATAGAGTATAAATTTGTCTCTGAAATTATATTTTTACTCAAAAGCGTTGAACACTTTCAAATTTTTTTGAGTATAATTTATTTTGAAAGTTTACAATTATAGCAATGTAATGCTGCCCCCTATTATTAAAATGTTAACAGCATAAGATACTTTTTCTTCGATTTTAAATTTGAGGTAAATTTATATTCAGAAAAATTTTGAATGTCCGGTATGCTCGCGAGTGAAAATTTTTAAGATGAATTGATAACTTAACCCTAATATAATTAGCATTTGGAATCGGTTTGTGCGTAGAATCATGTATGTCGAAGACTACTGATAATTGAGGCCCCCTCATATTTCCCAGTGGGATATTCAAGGAAGTCAAGGTTGAATAATCGATAATGTCGCAAATCATGAGTGGATCTCCTAAAGTTACCCGCAGGGAAAATGACGTCACGGATCATTTTAGGAAGACAATAATGTCGAAGCACCTGGTCAAGTTTTAAACACGAAGGCCCAAAGTATCGTAATGATTAAAGAGAACTGTTGCTAGCTATGAACCAAAGATATATATATATATATATATATATCTACTTGCTGGAAAAAATAACCATTCTTAAAATTTAGAAGCTCAATTGTGAATAATAGAAATTCGGTCATAAATTACTTGATCAATGTCAAAGCTCAATATAAATTATCTAGAACAATCCAGACTTGGCATAGGAATCTGAAAATACGAATTCAGATAATGTACCATTGAGCTTCTAGTTTTCCGGAGTCATCATGTTTCTAATTGAGTATAGACGCATCTATTAGTCGACAATCCTTTTTAATTGTGAGGAAAAAGGAATTTGATTTAATTTACATTTACAAAACTGGAGGTCGCTTCAATTCTTTATGTTGCTATCTCTCTAGAGTGGTCCAAAAACCATCATTTCACTAAATCATAATAAAGGGAATATCGTATAAAAAAATTTGAAGATAGGGAGATTGCTTTGATTGACGGTGATGAGCAATGAATTAGAATAACGTAAGGATGCGCGTGGAATCATAACTAACGCATTGAAAGGTTGGGTGCTTTATGGTTTGGCAAATGAACAAGAAATAGAGCTACGCCGATGAGGGAATTGAAGGAGGATTATTAGTAAGTGATGAGATTTGGATCGGATGTGAAATGAATCAAATGATGTTTTTGGATTCAGTGTTAGTGAGGAGATAGCACATGTGGAGGCATGTCGGCCAGTATCACTCCAGTGGTGATGCCCCCCATCCCATCAATCTCTTTACCGAATAGTTAATTAATTCATTCCTGTTCCTTATTTATTTAGCAAATTACAAAGGAATTATATTGTTGGTTCATGATTTTGTTGAAGGTGTGAAAATAAATGTGTATATATGCCATACACATGGTTTAATTAAATGATTCATATTGCATAATACAGTGTACGGATTTGAAAAGGTACATGAAATCGTGTGGGGCAATAATATATGTAGCTCCGTTTGGTTTAAGTTGGGCGTGCATATATTGGCATTCTTGAATTGTCCATGAATGATTGTTTTGTAATATCATCATATAATTATGCGGAAAGCTTTTGATAGAAACATGCTAGCCATTGATCAGGTGATGCAAAGCTGTTGTGATCAACCAAACGCCTAAATTCTATCCACAGACGGCCTGCTTGTTTTCCTTCTCGGTTTCTTATTAAATATTCCCTCCATTTTTATTATAAGATTCATTAACAACGTTACATAATTAAGGAATTAAATTAAAATTCACATGATCGATATTTTAAATATTCGAAATTATCCTTAATGAAATTTATTAAGACAAAGAGTCTTATATTAAAATAACGAGAAGGGTCTTGAAACGAAGATAGCAACAAGTTGATAAATAGATAATGAGGATCCAATGTAGAAGATGACAGTGTCCCAAGATTTGGGAGTGAGGACGATATCGTGGGCTTTTAGATTCTGTTGTTTTGGTGATTTTTCACATTCTTAATTTTTTCGTGTCCCCGTTCTTTTTTGCCAGATTTCGTGTCCTTATTCTCCATTCGATTTGAAATATCTTCTGCAGTTTTACGCACTATTGGCTCACGAGCACCAATCGCGGTGGAGAATATATTGACTATGTTATGGTTTTGTTTCTTAGTGCTTTGACAATTAATATAATTAATGTTAGGGTTATTATTAAATTACAGATTACAGATACGATTTGTAATATATTCTGGCCAAACTTTGCGTTCTCATAATGTGACTCTGGTTCTTACTTTCGATTCCCTTACCCAGACCACACTTGCTTCTGCACATGAAAGTGATGAAACTGAACATGCAAATTAAATGTTCATTACAGACATACTACCTCCGTTTTCTTAATGTAAAAACTATTTAACTAATTTAGACAGATTAAAACAGTTGAGTTAGTTATTTATAATAAATACGAGTTTAATTTTTTTAAAATATTCTTTTAACTATGATTATCTGGAAACTCTTTAATATTTGTAATCAATAAGAATACTTAGAAAAAGAATTATAAGTTTAAAAGATAAAGTGGGTTGAGGTATTATGTCTAGTATTAAATCTAATAAATAACTAGATTTATATTAAAATCGGAGATAGAATATGAAGAGCATATCTGGAGACTGTCCAATATTACGTAAAAGCACTTGATTTTAATTAAATCTCGAAATACTAGCTAGGTACCCCAGCGTCTGACCTCGTCATTGTGCCTGATGATATGAATTTGTCCTCCCTTTTTTCACTTGCGCTTCGCCTTTATTCTTACCTTATCTTTTCCCTCTGCATCTTATGCCAAAGATTGGAGAAAGAAACCCTCCTTTTTCTACAAAGTGAATGACGTGCACGTTCCCCCCCCCCCCCCCCCCCTTTTTTTTTACAGTAGGCTAAGCTCATGTCACATCGATCGCCAAGCTTTTTGGCGCAAAATCTCGGGACCTCTGGCCTTTGGGCCTCTGCATGAGTCGCGTCTAACAGCCGAAATATATAGTATCCATTCCTAAACACAGCGCAATTTAACCCTTCCTTTATAATATTAAAAATAGATAAAGAAATCTCTTATTTATTTGTGTTTGAAAACAAATGATTCCTTCAAAGATTTCCTTGTTTGCTTGTGGGCGATTATTTGGCATGCCCTCTATAAAGACATGCCATACCTTTTGGCGCTCTACCACACAACCAGTCCTCCCGTTTCTTGCTAGTTAAACTAGCGAGTGACATATATGGATTCGTGTGGTCTTAGTATCTTAGATCCGCCATCGCGGCTCGGGATGCAGTCCCATGTTTCAAGGAGTTTCATGTGGCCGAAGGAGTGTGTGGCGGAGGCGGAAGGAGAGCTGGAAGCGCCGCTAGTTGACCTGGATGGCTTCATCAGAGGCGACCAAGACTCCACCCGTCATGCCGCCGAGCTAGTAAGGCAGGCCTGCTCGAGGCACGGCTTCTTCCAGGTGATCAACCATGGAGTGGATTCGCGTCTCATCGATGAGGCCTATCAACAGCTGGACGCTTTCTTCAACCTCCCGCTTCAGAGGAAATTAAGCATTCCCAAGACTGCTGGGGCGATGTGGGGCTATTCTGGTGCTCATGCTCATCGTTTTTCCCGCAACCTGCCTTGGAAGGAGGCCCTCTCTTTCCCCTTCCACCGAACTGATGCCTCAGAGCCTGTGGTCTCTGACTTCTTCACTTCCAACATAGGACAAGATCTCCAACATGCTGGGTACGTAAGACCAACTCTAAACTTAGTAATCAGCCAAAAGTAGCGTGACTTTAATTTTGTATTAGAGCAGCCTTTATTTATATAAACAAATGGGGAAGAACAGGAAGGTATTTCAGGAGTACTGTGAAGGAGTGAAGGAGCTAGGGTTGAGGCTGATGGAGCTGCTGGGAATAAGCCTGGGGGTGGAGCGGCGGCATTACAGGGAGTTCTTTGAAGACGGAGAGTGTATAATGAGATGCAACTACTATCCGCCATGCCAGCAGCCGGGTCTGGTGCTTGGCACGGGACCGCATTGCGACCCAACTGCCTTAACAATACTTCATCAGGATCATGTCGGAGGCCTCGACGTTTTCGCAGATAACAAGTGGCAGAGGGTTCCTCCTCGTCCTCAAGCTTTCGTTGTCAATATTGGCGATACTTTTTCGGTAAATTCCTTCTTCCTCTTTCTTTCCCATTCTTCATACATTCAACCTCAGATTTGGAGTAGTGCCCACCGCTTCCCCTTAAATTTTTCCCACTTCTCAAATAATTTTTTTTGTTTCTTTTAATCATTAAATTTTAGAACAAAATAGTTGATATTTTATAAGTTAAAAAATGTGCAGTTTTCAATTTTTTTTATGATTTTTAAAAAATATTTTAAAATTGGCCTAATTTCGTTATAATTTAGATACAAACGCTTTTAAGAAGTTGGGAAAATTTAGGGTGTGTTTGGTGTGAGGGATTTGGAAGGGAGGGGGAAGGATTTTAATCATTTTCCCTCTCCTCCAAAATTGAAAGGATTTGAAAGGAAATGACAATATTTTACCATGTTGTGACTATTATACCTATATTTTGTCATATTGTGACCATTATGCCCATATCTTAAAAAAATAAGGGTAAAATTGTCCATGTGAAAATATTTTTCCCTCCCCTCCCCTCATGAACCAAACAAGATAATATTAAAACTTCTTCCCTCCCCTTTATTTTTATAAATTCCAATAAGGTAATATTAAAATCTTTTCACCCTCCTTCTCTCCCTTTTCCTCCATTAAAATTCCTTCCCTTCCTTTCCTTTCATTGAACCAAACAGACGCTTAGAGAATAGCAGGGTAGGGGCAACAAAAGCCCAAATCCTCCGACGTCTCCCTTTGTCTTGGTTCATCAGTCAAAGCATGGTTTTTTCTTGGTTTTTTTTCCTTCTCCATTTTTCGCGCGGTGTCTTGCGTACGACAGATTGAAAAATGAAAAGCAAAGTTTTACGGTATATTAAAACAAAAAGGATTTGAAGCTAATGTGTTAGACGTTGTACAAATATGTTATTTCGGAATTTGTGAATCTGCGTCGTACTCCTCTGATCCTAAATATAAAATCTATTTTATAATATATTTATATTACAAAATGGGTCTTATATTTAGAATCGGAAGAGTATGTAATTTCTACAGGCCCAACTATTTTTATGGAACACTAAAACATAATCACTTTAACATTTTCAGGGGAAGCTTTTGCTATTCTTTTTTTGTAGTATATTAATTAAAGAATTGCGTGTGCTTCAATCTGTCGTGCTAGATAGAAAGACCTGGGCTTATGCCATAAATTACACGGTTAAAAATATAATTGGTAGAAGTAAGCCGATCAGACGATCGTTTTAAAATTTTTAAACCCCTTTGTGCGAAACCTTTTCAGAATGTTTTGTTTTGATAGTATATCTTTTAAACATATTATCATTTCAAAATTTGTTTAAAGCCCATGTTTGAGGTTTTTAAAGTTAAATTGATATGCTACGTATATTTTTCATAATCCCGCAAAATTTTGTCAGGCCCTTTTTTTCAGGAAAAAAATGTGTCGATATTGTTTAATTTAGTCCTAATCATGAAATCTTCGTTGATATGCCATTCTTAGATCCTATTTGTTTACATTGATAATTTATGTATACCTAATACTGTTATTTTACCCTGATCACTTAATCTAATGAATGATGATATCACATTTGAATGACTCAGTTTACTCTATTACACACACACACACTCACACATGTATATTACTCCTCCGGTCCTAATTATAAAACCCAATTGACTTATTTGAGGAGATTAAGGAAGTAAGTTAAGTTGGTTATTTATAATAAATAAGTGTTGTTATTCCTAAAATATCCTTGCTAATTAAGTATATTGGTTAAAACTATCATTATTAGAAGGATTATCTTGGAAAAAAATACATAAATATAAGAGACAAAATGGATTGGTGTCTTATAATTAGGACCAAATAAAAAGTCAAATGGAGTCTTATAATAAGGACCGGAGGAGTATTTTCACAACATAAATCTGACACTTATTCAAAATGTCAAAACCGGCCAGACAAAATTAATCATGTTAATTAATGATGTAATTCAAAGTCAGATGGATTTAATAATTATATTTGAAACTAATTTAATAGTAGAATTAGTTAAGACACGAGAATCCACGGGGAATCTGACCTTTCATTTAAACACACACACACACACACACAAAAGGGAAACAGAATTAAGGAACCCACAAGAGTAAACCTCTTGCAATCATTTGTGGTCGCACCAGCTTATCCCCAACCTTTTCTACATCTCTGGCGCAGATTAATTTATTGTTTTGTGTCTAAATGTATATATATTTATAGAGAGAGAGAGAGAGTATAAGTGAAGTGGTTGTTGAATGATACTGAAATATTTTCAAACAGAAAGATGTACAGTGATTTGTAGAGTTGCTCATCAGTAGAGAAAAGCTAGGACGTGCATTATGGTGTGGGGGTCAAAATTTGAGAGTCATCAAGTATTCCAAAAGAAATGAGGAGAGGACAGTGAACAATTGATAGAATGGATTTGATGGAGAGGACATTTATAATGATTAATGGAGAAGGAAAAGGGGTTACTACATGCCATGCGTGTGTGTGAGTGTGTGTATGCGTGTGTGAAGTGAAGTGAAGTGAAGTTATTAATTATTAGCATTAGACGCATTAGAAGTTGTTGGTTGTGCAGGCACTATCAAACGGGAGATACAAGAGCTGCGTACACAGGGCTGTGGTGAAGAGGTACCGGGAGAGGAGGTCCATGGCATTTTTTGTGTGCCCCAAACCAGACAAAGTTGTGAGAGCCCCCCAGGATTTGGTGCTCAGGGACGGCTCCAGGCTGTACCCTGACTTCACATGGTCCGATTACCTTCTCTTCACTCAGTCCTTCCACAGAGCCGACCACTCCACTCTCCACCACTTCATTCCCTGGCTCCTCTCCTCCAAACCCACCGCTTAGCCCTTCATTTAATTTCCTGCTTCCCCTCTTCTCTATGTTATGTCAGCTAGGAAGCATATATATATGCTTGTAATATTTGTTTTATTAGACCCGTATTAATATGAATCTTCATTCATCTTTGCGTCTGTCATGCTTGTTGATGAAACTATAATATCATCACGATGTTCATTTCAGCTTAAACGTGGAAGGCTTTGAAAATATGGCTTACCAGAATATTAAAAGGATGATACATAAGAGTAGAAAAGGATGAACAAGAAATTAAGGAACCATATTTCACAGTTCATATATAAAGCTTTCAATCCCTTTCAATCAGATTTTCACCCCATGTTGAGGGTCCCTGCGAGCGTGGATGGAATTGAGGAAAATTAGCCAAGACCAAGACAAAATATAAGTAAATATATAACAGCCCTGGCAAAAGGTTTGTCGTATGCTTGGGTGCAAGAAGGTGGGGAATGAGGACAAGGAAAAAGACGAAGAAACACAAACTGTTTCGCAAGCCACCAATTTTCATGAAAGTTAGATGGGGTGGGGTACTACCTCAAATGCACCAGAGTTGCATATATATATGAACTTCATTATGCATGCACCAGTGCTTTGTTTCACAGTTAAAATTAAAAAGAAGAGGCAGCTATAGAGGCATCGCCGATTTGATGAGGCTTTTCTGGCCTCGTCTGTGCAGCCCCTTCCGGGTGCCAATGGAGAGGACAAAGTTCTGTTTATCATGTGAACAATCAAGAATTTGGTAAGTAAAGCCTAAGGTATATGCAGCTCCCTTCCGTACACTGGAGATCCAAACAAAGGATCAGAAGTAGGGAAAACTTACACGAGAGGATAGGAAACTTGGATGGAAATGAAGGGCCGGGGTGGAGTCCTTATACAGGCCAAATTAACAGGGGGGCCATATTGAGCGATTGGAAAAGGTTGATGTTCTCTGTCTCTTGTTTGAGTGCCAAACAAATCTATTGGATCATGTGGTGGCCTTTAATTAGGTGAAAAGTATTGCTTTCATTCACCCATGCGAGTCCAGAGATCTGGACAAATTCCAATATTGGGCCCCTTCCACCAACATTTGCCAGTCTCTGCCTTAACTATTTTTCTTCCCCTTCTCATCAGGTTTTGGTTTCCCAGAAGATGAAAAATTGTCATATGGTATCCGAGAAAATGGCTGGGCCAAAATATCCAAAACGTACCCCATATTTCAATCAGCGCAGAGAACGCAGGCAGGATTTTAATTAGCCTGTCTTAGCTGCTATTTATTCACTAATCATACTGCATGACACCGTGTAAAGATGCTCTTCCCTGTTTTGCCGATTCACCTGGAGAACGAATAACTTCATTTTTATTGACCGTGCATTAATTATTCGGTCATCAATTTTCTCTGCCTTTTCCAGGCAAGGTCTTGTCATTTACTTATGCAAATTATTTTTTGCTGCCCCAGTTCTTCATATGCTCTCTCTTTTTCTTTTTTAAAATCTAAACTAAGTAGAAAATCTCTGTTTTCTATTCTCTTTTCTGTTTTCCTGCATGTGTAGTTCATTTTCACTGCCCTGATTGTCTCCGTTCTGATTTGATATATTTCTCTTTCACTTAAATTGTATGCCCTCTCTTGTCTCAGAGTTGAATTGTTTTCACTCCGGAAAAATACTCTCTTGGACCTGATTGAGGATGTTATATAATAAGATCCAAATTCAGTGATGGTCGAGCTATGAAAAGGTAATCAGGCCCAAACGATCCTTTGAGCTTATTAGTTTTTGCGGTCACCCTCTCCTTTTCAGAAAACTAACAGCGTTTTAAATTTTTCTATAAAAGCTTGATAAGCATTGCTCTTGATTGATGCAGAGACACAATTAATGCCATGCAGAGACAGTTATTTCCATGAATGGGATATATCATATCCCCCAAGGGAGAGTATATATTCTTTGTGGGGCTAATATTCTCATACACGAGACAATAAAGTAATATTTCTTCTAGTCTTTTATTACATTATTACAGGCTACTTTTGTTTTTTTTTCCTTCTTGGGTATTTTATTATAGGTTACTTTCAATTATGTTGCATTGATTAAGGAATGTAACAAAAAGTAATATATGTTTTAAATTTTTTTCCAAAAATTACTTGTATTATTTTTCAAGTTTTCCTTTTAATTAAAGTAAAAAAAAAATTGTCATGACCTTTCTTAAGGAGACAAAATCAGTTAAAAAAAAAAATCCAATGCAAGGACATTTGCCCCAAAATTAAAAAAAAAAAAAGGTTTAGCTCACTAGACAATTGGAAGTATGACTTGTAGTATAACCCTCTGACAAGGACAGGAGGCAATAGTAAAATACTCCCACTGAACAAAACGAGAAGGAGTATGAATAAAGGAGTGACTTTAAGAGATAGAAACGTTTATTACGTACTGTATTGCATTCTTTTCAATTTAAATCTTCGGTCATTGTGGTCTTAAGTTTAATGAGGTTTAAAATGCCACTAATAACTAGGTACACATTCTCATGTTCCCTCCTGCTTTTGGTTCCTAACTTGATTTCTGAAGAAATCCTTGGATCTGTGCCTAGGAATTTGAGCTTCAAAATACTAAAAACAGACTTCAAGGAACATTGGGATCAATGGGACATTGTTATTTTTCACGAGATGGGTGGGCCATCGATTTTAATAACCCGGAACACATGCACTCTCCATTAAATGGATATATTCCTATTTTAAGTTTTATATTTCTCATAATTTAAATAATACACCCCCACCACGAACTATCACTGTCATTAATCAGCAATGCCTTCTCTGCCACCTCTGCTATGCTTCTTTACGTTGTTTTGTTTTTACTGCAGTAACCCTAGGATGAACTTTTCTAAATTTTAGAAAGTTTTATATTAGAACCGCAAGAAAGTTTATACTATGTAGCAGTACTTTATAACCCAGATCCGGGCGAAAAATATAAATGAAAATAACAAGAACTAATTGACATTATTTACGGAAAAATTAAACACCGCATCTCCAACCTTCATTAAACTTGCTACTCTCGCTCTCTCTCCCCCTCTGAATTATCTCCTTCCTTTTTCCCTGTTAACCAACTATAATCTGGAAGCACAGTTCGTTCTGGCCCTGGATTATTTATAAGAATTTGATTCCAATCAAACTTGTGAAATGCACAATCTGGTCTTTCAGTATTTTAGCATTGTTTCTAGATGGATATCTAGTACATGACACTCCGTTGAGTTTACCTTGGCGTGATGAAAATATATCCTTAATCAAATTACAACTACTGGCACTTCATCAGGCGTGAGAAAAGTATATAAGCAACAGATTTAAGAGCAGAAAGTGGTGCAGATATGTGAGATTCTATTCGCATGTCTGTTAGGTCCAAAGCTGCTGGAATACGGGCGTTTCCTATTGTCAGGTATTTTTTTCCCTTAGGTGTCAAGCACTAATGTCAGAAGTGAGGTTGGCTATTATTTGGGCTTATGGCATTGCGTGTTCCTTTCCTTTGTTGGAAGGCTGGTGTGTCTCTGTGTGACTATATAATGAGTATATCCTTCCTTTGGCCATGCCGAAGCCAACGAACGTAGAGCTGCAACGTTAAGAGATGTCACGGACGAGATTTGAAGTATGATTAGTATTTAATGGGAGCCCAAAATGGGAACCCAGCCATTGGATCAGGCCCCTTTAAAGCGGAAACAACCCCTATGCAGTTTTGAAAATGGGGCAGCAAATTGAAGATATGTGATGTGAAATTCCATAAACATCATAGGGTAGGGAGAGCAGGGAAGTAAGTATGTGCGACAGAAACCCTAGTACGAAACCACAAGGTCGCTGTGTCACTCACGTGTGATTGGCAGAATATGAGAGGAGGGGACAAAGGGCATGTAATTAAGGAAGAAAGAGGAAGAGGTTAATTGACATGGGTGGGGTTTGAACTTGAAGGATGAATATATGGAAAAACGTGAAATGCCAAACTCCAAGAAACGAAGAATAGTCAAGGAGGATGGAAGAAGGTGATGGGTCAAGTCAGTGTCGCCCAATTCATTTCATACCCAATGGAATTAATCAGATATAAACAGATAGAAGAACAGGTACGTAGTGTTGGCACTGTCTAATAAATGCAAATACCCTTCCGAATTAAACATATAATAATAGTATGAGCTCAGAGGGATGGTGGAGTGGAGTGGGGCTCTTTCTCAGAGGGACAAATCCCCAATTAATGCTATCAATATTACTTTTCCTGATCTGCCTCCGTAAGGCGTGCCTTTGTGGAGATATCGCCAACCTTCTTCATCCCTTCTCTTTCTTATTTTCCTTCTCCCTCAAACTTTTCTTCCTGGCTTTTCTACAAAATTCAAACCCTCCTGCCTTTTCTCTTCCCCGTCAGTCCCGGTTATTTAAATTTGATTGAAACACGAGTATTTGAATTGAAAAAGAAAACAGAAAAAGAGGAAAAGGAAGGGGGGTATGAATTCGTGGTTGTGAATTGTGATCAGAGTTGATGAATAGGAGAGGGATACAGAGACAGCACTGTCAAACTCAATTAAAAGCAAAGCTATGATTGCACCAAGTACGTCATCATTGTCATGCAATTTGGCAATGTTTTGTTTTCTTTTTCTCTTTTCCTTCAATTTTCATTTTGTTGTTTTGACTGCGTCTGAGAATTTGAAGGGGCAAGCAAAACTGCGCAATTGGGGTTGGGATCTCCAACACAAATCTCACGGTTGATATCGAAGCACTTGGTTTGCAATGGCCAATATGCTACATACAGTCACAGTGCCATCTATATGTACCAGTAAGCTGATGAGTGTTTTACAATATGAGGCCTCAGCTCCCTCCTTCCGATCTGTCCCGAGGGGGCTTGGTTTGTGTTCTCTTCTGTGCATCGGATTCTGGGTCCATTAAATGCCCATTTTGACAATTCCTGTGCAAACGGCCTTACTTTGTGTGGCAGAAGCGGAAGGGGTTTGAGTGTATCTCATATCATATCATCACTTAAATTCTCACCCACCGCTCTCTCGCACTG